TAATTAGACATAGGATGTTTAGTGCACATACGAGAACCTTTCCTCTCAATAATTGGGACATCGAGGTCAGGAATATTTTTTCTCACAAAAATTGGAAGATTAATACCAGGAAAAGACAAATCAGATAAATCATTGGATGAGTAAGAAGGATTACCAGATGAAGAACTAGAAGACAGATTATATGTAGGACCTTCACTTGGTAAATCAGATTGGATTTCTACTGGAGAGACAATAGGGTTTGCACCACCTTTGTGGAATTTTTTTCGAACATACACTTTAAGTTCAGGATTATCATCCTTAATCAGCGTTTCTCCCCCAGTTTCAGATTCTATTATCTTAGCATTTGGGTGATTTGTAGTCACAATATCATCTAGAGCAGGCAAAGTTTCCAAAAAATTATCTTCTTTATTATTACATTGACTCTCCCCCTGAATAGAATTTTTAAAAAAAGGTTGATTTTCAACAAAGTGAACATCCATGCTTTCAAAAAAATTCTTTGTAACTGGGCTAAAACATTTGTATCCCTTTTTATTGGAAGCATAGCCAAGAAAAACACATTTTTCGGCTTAAGGATCCAACTTAGAACGAAAAACATTGGGGATGTAAACATAACAGAGACAACCAAAAATTTTAAGGGGAAGATCAGTAATAATACGAGATGTAGGAAAATTGTTTTGTAACACTTGTACAGGACTTTCATATTGTAACACTCGAGATGGCATTGGATTGATGAGGTGACAAGCAGTTAATAAAGCATTTCCCCCAAAGATACTTAGGTGCATTCATAGAAAACATAATAGCTCTAGTAACTTCGAGGAGATGTCTATTTTTTCTTTCAACAATACCATTTTGTTGCGGAGTATCGCGACAAGTGGATTGATGAATTATCCCCTTGGTTACAAGGAATGTACTTAAATATTTGTTGAAATATTCAGTGTCATTGTCAGACCTTAGAATGTCAATCTTAGTTTGAAATTGATTGTTAATCATGTTAAAAAATCTTGAAATCTTTGTTCAACTTCTGATTTTTTTTCTCCATGAGATAAACCCAACACAGCCGTGTATGATCATCAATAAATGTTACAAACCATTTTTTCCAGACATAGTTTTAATTTTTGAAGGACCCCAAACATCACTGTGAATTAAATAAAAAGGTTTGGAAGCAGAATAGGCTTTTGATTTAAAAGACACACGATGATCTTTAGCTAAGTAACAAGCTTCACAATGAAATTGTGAGGAATTTATTTCTTTGGAAAAAATAGGAAACAAATGCTTAAGATATGAAAAACTAGGGTGACCTAATCTTTTATGCCATAACATAATTTGATCTGAAATGGGAGATGAGTTTGTATTGTTTGAACCGAAAAACGCTTTATTGCTAAACTGAATCCATCAAGGTAGTACAATCCATTCATCTCTCTAGCAGTTCCAATCGTCTTCCCCGAGTTCTGGTCCTGAAAAACACAAGTAGAGGAACAAAAAAGAACAGAACAATCAGTGTCCTTAGACAATTTATGAACAGATAGAGGATTACAAGCGAATTTAGGAACATGTAAAACAGATTGCAAAGTGATTTGCTCTAAATTTATATGTTGCCTTTGCCTGCAATACTTGAATAACTATCATCAGCTATCCTATCTTTTTCAAAACCTGAACTAGAAAATAGGTACTTAATAGATGAGAGCAATTAGTCATGTGTTTAGATGCCCCTGAATCTATTATCCAAGGGTTATAGTGGTTGTGAGCAGATAGTGCCCAAGAATCCTTACCTGTTTGTGCCACAGTTCCAATAGGAATATTAAGAGATGAATTGAACTTTAAAAACTTAAGAAGGTTATCCATTTGTTCCTTCGTACATGGAGACGAATCAGCCTCATTGGCCATAGGCATAGGACGACCACCAAACTTACCAGTCTTGCCATGATTTGGTCGCCCATGTAGTTTGTAGCAAGTTTCCCGAGTGTGGCGATTGCACCCACAGTAATCGCAAAATAAATGAGTCTTGTCTCCACCTCGTTGATTATGAAGTGGTTTACGATTGACGTGGAGAATTGCCAAGGCAGATCCTTCAACTGGTGGAGGGACAGCTGTTGTATTTTTGCCAAGCATCACTTGCCGACGACTCTCTTTGCGGCGTACTTCTGAAAAGACTTCACCAATTGGAGGGATAGGATTTCTTCCTAGAATTCGGCCACGAACCTCATCAAAATCAACATTTAGATCTGCAAGGAACTTGAAAACATGACTAACATCCACTATCTTCTTGTAATGTTTGCTATCGGCATGTGATTTCCACTCATACTCATTGAAAAGGTCAAAATCTTGCCAAATACGATTGAGACAATTGAAGTATTTGGTGACCGAATCATCACCTTGCCAAATTTCTCCCAATTTGAGAGTTAATTCGTAGATTTGGGATTGATTTTCCAAATCAGAGTACATTTGGGAGACATCTTCCCAAAGTTCTTTTGCAGTATCATAACAGAGATAATTTGCACCTATCTCTTCATCCATGGAGTTGACTAACCATGTCATAACCATGGAGTTTTCAGCATCCCATGTATCATAATCTGCACATGCCTTGTCTAGTTATTTTTTGTCGCCAGTGATGTAGTCAATCTTTCCTCTCCCCCTGAGATACATACGAACGGATTGCGACTATCGAAGATAATTAGCACCGTTCATCCGAATTGTTGTGATCTGAACAGGGTGGTTTTCATGGTACGTCCGGACTAATTTAGGTTCGGGTGAGGAATGTTTGGGTGAAAGTGAGGACTCGGTATCAGACATTGTGGGATGTAAAAAAAGATAAACAGAGCGGAAACACAAAAAAAAAAAACCCTAAAGGATTCTTGTTGCTACCGATACCATATAGAAATATGCTTTTTCTATTTTGTATATTCTGTAACACGGTATATATGAGGTATTTATAGAATATAAATTACACTAGAAAATAGGGATAATTATTCTCCCTATAAATTCTAATCCTAAATAAGGTAAGAATATAATAATACAATTAATTTCTATTTAATCACAATTTAAATCCAGTCATAATGAGCTGTATAACAGAATCTGTTTTGATTTTGTGCTAATATTCAACAGTTATATTTTACAAAAACTGAAAATGTCTCAAACTTCACAAATAAACATCTATTGGTATGTCGCAAATGTCTCATTCTCCGGATCTAAACTCAGAAAAACATTCAAGTTCACCGACTTCACCTCCCTTAAAGATATCAAAGATGACATATATCATCTCCTACCTTACATAGACAATCGAAAGATAGTGAAACTTGAGTACGGTTCACCGTCGATTAACAATGGAGGGAATATTGAATTCAGCAAATTTAAGCTCAAGACGCAATCAAATGTTAGGACTATGTGGAATACATATTTCCGTTTCGAAACAAAACTTTCGCTCGAGTTGGAAGCAATGCTACAAAGATCGGTCGAAAATATTATGAAGATATGCAAGCGTCCACTGGGATATTGAAGTGTAATATTGCATTTTATGTTGAAAATCATCATTGTAATGTTTATTTTATATTATGAATGTCAAATTCATTTTGATAAGTTACTTTTCAGTTGAATTTGATAAGGATTTGTCTCTGGAAATGTAACTACGGCATTATTCTAGAGAATGTAACTACGGCATTATTCTAGAGATACATCTCTGGAATAAAGTAAACCAGAAAAAGACGTAACTCAAAATGACTTTTATTGAGTGTGTGTTGAGATGCGTCCACGTAACTCAATGACTTTTATTGAGTGTGTGTTGAGATGCGTCCGGATATGCATCTCCAAAAACATAGGACATTTATGAAAATTCACATAATACATTAGAAACAGGTGTCGTGAGAAATTCTTGAATAATAGGAACACATTTTTCAATCTCATTTATCATATAAAAACGCATTATTCAGTCTCATTTAAGATGTTTTGTAATTGAAACACATTTTTTGAATATACATCTCAAAAAACAAAGCGCAATTATAAAAATTCACATGGTTCTTCAGAAACGGATGCCATAAGAAATTCTTGAATAATAAAAACACATCTTTCAGTCTCATTTAACATGTGATGTATGGTCTCTTCCTGTACAATAATTTTCCCCAAAAAAAGTTTAAAACTTAAAAATAACCCTAAATCACAGCAAACAGCCAAACTTTAATTGTGGTATATGGATTTCAAACGTAACTTCTTCAAAGACAAAAAGAAAGGCCAAAAAAAGAGTAGGCGAAACATGTATTGTGGGATTGTACTGGTTGGTAGGTAACTTGTATTTTTCCGTTTTACTATGTTATAAAATTAAAAATGAGGTTATTGAACAACACTATCAATTTAAAAGACTATTTTCTTACAGCTACAAACTTGAATAACAATTTGTTATAAATAGAGTGTATTTCGCCTTTACTTTTTTTTCTTAAGTTGTCTAGTAACCTCAACCATACTGTGCCAAACTTTTATAAATATTGGGTGTTTTCAATTTTAATGAACACAATATCGATAAACAAGAGAGTTCCTTCATTTTCTTTATGAAAGAAGTAAATATGCTACCGACTGTTATGCCAATAACTACTAGTATAACTAATCAAGAAAATAATTCATCTTCATGCATAATTTATAGGATATTTAACAATTATCCTAACATTTGCCAATTAATAAAAAGGATTGCTTTACCTTTCCTGCTTTGTCCTACGATGTTTCTACAAATGCATAAAATACTTGTGTGCTAACCACAGCTGCTTAAAATGGAAATGTAATATGCCAGCTTTAAATTGCAAACATAAGATGAAATAGATAAATTTCAACTAAGCAAAAATATCCTTCAAAATTCAATTGAAATTCCAAACATAAACATTTAAAATAAGCCAATCAACTTAAAAGTATTTAAAATAGGAAAATTCATAAATGTTTATCGTTACCACCCTCATTAAACAAGACTACAGAAAACTAAGGCAAAAATCAAACTTCACCATATCTCTAGCTGAAAGCTCTGCCTATGCTGTGACAGATGGCTTGGTGGCAGTGGATAGTCTGGACCTCTTCTTTGCTAAGCTCTCACTTCGGCGTTCCCTTTGCTCCTTCAATCTGGATGCTAGGAGTTTCTGATAGTCTGCGGCCTCTGATTTAGCCTTGGCAATTCTCTTTTTCTTATCTGCAATTCTTGCTCGCTTCCTTTGGAGTGTCAAAGGAGTGACAAGTCGTTGTATCTTGGGAGCTTTGCTTTGCTTTTTCCCTGCAATCAAGGATAACCAACTAAGACAACAATTGATAGCAAATGCCTAGTAAGGTCCAATTTTATCAGAGATGTTGCTGAGGCGGTCAACAGAAATTCAATGAAACCGCGGGTCTATTAAAATGGGTCTACTAACCCCAAATTCAAAGAATATAGTGTGTATATATCCAAATCTAGATGGTAGAACAAGATTTCGTGTCCAATGTAAGTGATATACCAGATGGCTTTAAAGTTTTTGATATTTTGGGCAATCAGTATAACAAACATAAACGGCTACTTATAATTAAACTGATACTATATTCATGGAGTCAGAAACTTACCAGCTTTGGTGGTAAAAGTACGACGATAGGTGTTCACATATTTTCGCACATCATCCTCCTTCGAAAGGTTGAACAGCTTGCGGATTTTGGATGCTCTCTTAGGACCTCTCATCCTTGGCTTCTCAACATCAGTAAGACCTGGTAAATCATTGTCTCCTTTCTTCACAATTACCAAGTTCAAAACAGAGAGGTCAGGGCTGACAATGCATCCACGAACAGACTTCCTTCTACGCTCTCCATTACGCCTTCCGTGTCCACGGAAACAAGGAGTACCTACAGAAGTGCATAATGCTCAAATTGACTAATATACAAAACTAAAGAGATCAGCATACTTAATAGTTAAAGAACATAAAATATAGAGTAATAAAACATAAGCAGATAAGAAATATAAAACAACACTGAACAAAAAACTAGAAAGAAGAGCAGAACCTTTACTTGTAAGCAAAATCACAACTCTACTCTTCATAGAGTTTGGATTAAAATAAACAGCCTTAAAAAAATGAATGCGGTTATCCACAAGTTCTAATAGCGGACACAATAACAGGCTGCAATAGCCATTTGGGGACGCAAATAGCAGCCATTGAGGACGTGTACACCACTCCACTATAGTGGTACTATAGCAACAACATAGATTGCACCAACAACACCAATTATAATAACATGTTCATAGTACTCCAAAAGGAAAATAAATGGATGTTTCAAGAAAATCTACCTCTGTGGAGCAAGAGCCTAACACGCCCAGGTGTCAACACTCCCTGCTTCATTGGAAATCCTTGTTTGTCGCACCCACCAGTAATCTTGAAAACATATCCTTTAAACTCCTGAAGGTAATAAAAATATAAAGCAAAATAGATCAATTACAAGACTCTTAAATCACAATAGCACGCAATGCAGATTGCAAGCTAAAGACCATACCTCGCCCAAAGCATCACCAAGAACCTCCTGTGAGATCCTCTTGTCCCAAAAAGCACGTCTGCAACATTTAAGTATATTAGAATCATCAGAGAAACAAGCTACATAGATATATCCGCCAGAAACTAACATACAAAAAGAACTATCAATAGACATAAACATAAGGGAAACAATTACCAGATTTATAAGTTGCAGAAGTATAAGAAACGATTAAATTCAAAATACATGATGCACATACAAAATTGAACACAATTGGGGCAAAAACACAAAGAGCAGAAAGCATAAAGCTCATAACTCAATCTATAACTATAGCTACCTCAAAGTAACGATTTTTCTCTCCTGAGAAACATAATTAAACTGAAGAATGAAAAAATCAAGAGAGAGTAAATAGATTATTACAGCTTCTGGTCGTCATCGATTTCCAGCTTCTTCTGGCATCCAGTGGTGGGATTCGCAACGTTAAACTGAAATAAAAGGACGAGTCAGAAAAATCAAAATGGAAATCAATGCATCGAAGTAATCGATGATTCGAAACAAAACCTTCATGTTGCAATCTCTTCCTGATCCAGCCGCGGCTTACTCTCTTGGTGTAGCTTCAGAAACAAAAGAAAGGGTAGGGTTTATCACACTCTGGGCTTTTATATGCTCCTTCTCTGTTTTTGTTTCTCTATTGGGCTGAATAACCCTAAACCCGCATACCGTGGGCTTTTTCTTTATTGGATCAAATTAAGATCCAAATAGTTTGAGAATGAGAATCTCGTATTGTACCTAGGTGTTTCTAATGCACCATATGAATTTTTACATATATTATTTAATTTTGAAGATACATCTTCGAACACATTTCAGTACATGCTCAACAAAGTTCATTTTGAGTTATGTCTTTTCTTTTGGTTTAATTTAAACTGGAGATTCATCTCTAGAATAATTATGTAGTTACATCTTCGGACGCTCCCCAACACATATTCAACAAATGTCATTATGAGTTACGCATTTTCTTTTAATTTAATTTATTTCGGAGATGCATCTTCAGAATAATTTCGTAGTTACATCTTCAGATTCACACTAGAAACAAATTCAACAGATCAAAAATGAAATTGACATTCATAACAAAAAAATGATCATTACAATAGTGATTTCAACATTACATTTAAATATCTCAATGGACGCTTGCACATCTTCAGAATATCTTCAACCGACCTTTGTAGCGTCACTTCCAACTCGAGCTGAACTTTCTCTTCGAAACCGAAAAAGGTATCACACATAGCCCTAACATCTGCTTGTGTCTTGAGCTCAAACTTGGTGAACTGAATCTTCCATTCGTTGTCAATCGAAGGTGAATGGTACGTCGATTGTCTCTATAAGGTAAGAGATAATTAATTTCGTCTTTGATATATTCAAGGGACGTGAAGTTGGTGAGCTTGAACGTTCGCTCGGGTGTAGAGTCGTAGAAGGACGCATTTGCGACATACCAATAGATTTTTATTTGTGATATTTGAGACAATTTGAGTTTGTGTGAAATATAACATTAAAGCACCTAAGTTTATATAATGCAAAGATCAATTTGGACCACTCATCAACAGGCACATTGATTTTGGGGATATATCTCTGGAAACGTACCCTTTTATCTTGTTTCAAAGATGCGTCTCCGGAACTTCTCCTGAACCAATATTACACTAGAACAATTTTTTTCATTGACAAAAACACACATGTTGTTATGAGATAGATCAAAAATGCATAAAAACAAAATATGAACAAAAGGTGAATATATAACACTTCACTTATATTGAGACACAATTACATACAATTATTTGTCCGGTTAAACAAGAAATCAAAATGAATCGAAACATATGTTGTCGACTAAATCTACAGGTGGTACCCCCTTGAACTTTTGCGTATTCAATTTTTTTCAGTGTTGTTCAATTTCTAGAATTCTTACATCCTTTCCTTAAAATGTTCTGGCCACGTCTCGGCTTTTGTGGTTGAATGAGTCATCCACTTCGATGATGTAAGTGGTATGGGTGACGCTACATGAAAAAAACAACCGACAAAGACACAGAGTCGCCATCGAACTTTATTTATCCCAACGAGGAAAGGAAAACATCGAGAAAACCTCAGAAGGGAGAGAACATGTTCTCGCAATCAAATTCGGGGTTCGGTAGTTGATTACGCAAGAGAGGTAATTGTGTAAAAAAACAAAATACAAATACGTCAATGTAGGAATGAATTTCCACTGAGTTTCAATTCTGCAATGGCTCGTATGTCTTCGAAGCTTTAAATACCTTACCTTTTGAAGTGAAAGATTGGACTGATTCCTATCCTTCGGGGTTCCCAATTGTTGTAATGAAATAAGATCATAGATCATACGCAGACCGCAACCTCTCACTTTCAAATCCTTAACTTTTGTCTAGATCGCCCTTTCAGGTTTACAATCCACCGGAATACCCTTTTTTGCCTAAGTTGCCTTTCTAGGCTTTCAACTTAGCAGGTTTATTCAATTTTTTTATTTTTTTATCTCAAATTTTTGCCCGAACCTTCTCTTTTTGTGTTTCACAGAGGATGTAAAATCTTCACCATCCATAGTTGAGAGTATCACGGTTCCTCCAGAGAAAACCTTCTCCACAACATATGGTCCTTCAACACCGAGGATGCACTTTCTGATCTAACGCTTTCTTCATCCTTCTCTGGTACAATTGCCCATGACAAATGGTTGTCATTCTCTTCTCTTTAATGAGGGTCAACTAATCAAACCTTGTCTGAACCCACTCAGCTTTATCAAGCTCTACATCTATCATAATCCTTAAAGAAGGAATTTTCACTTCCATTTGTAGGACTACTTCCATACCATATACAAAAGAGAAAGGGGTTGCCCTTGTTGAAGTACACATCAAAGTACGATACTTGTGCAAAGCGAAAGGCAGCATCCCATGCCAGTCCTTGTATGTCACCGCCATCTTTTACACAATCTTCTTGATATTCTTGTTAGCTGCCTCAACAACATCATTCATTTTTGGACGATATGGAGAAGAATTATGATGTTCAATCTTAAAGCTCTGACATAGCTCTTTCATCATTTTTTATTTAGGTTGGATCTATTATCAGTAATGATCCTCTCGGGAATCCCATAACGATAAATGATTTCTTTCTTTATGAAGTGGGCAACCACTTATTTTGTGGCATGTGCATACGAGGCAACTTCCACTCACTTGGTAAAGTAGACAATGACAACCAGGATGAAATGATGTTCGTTGGAAGCAGTCGGTTCAATACACCCAATCATGTCAATGACCCACATAGCAAAAAGTCAATGAGAGGTCAAGACGTTCAAAGGAACAGGCGGTACATGCACTTTGTCTGCATAAATCTGATACTTATGACATTTCTTCACATATTTGTGTTGTACCCCAAAATTTAACCAACTCATTTCTTTTGTTTTTGGCTTATGTTTTATTGCACTATTTGCATAACATTGTTCTTACAGGGGATCAAGTGATTGTATGTGTGTGTCATCCGAGAGGAGAGCCTTATGGGCTTCAAGCTCAAGCAAAGGCATTGGTAGAGGTTATTGTGTGTGTGTGTGTGTTATCATCATGAGGTTATCAGAGCTCTTAGAGAAGAGAGATATGCCACAACTCATTCCCAAGAATCATCAGAGGGTTTTGTCAAGGGTTCATGAGGACCTATCATTGGTGCAAGCATGAGGTAGAAGCTTTTTTAGTACCTTAGATGCTATTATGGAGTTGGAATGGTCACTCCTTTCATCTGCACAATGCCTAGGCAAAAAGGATGAAATTAGGGTTTCACTTATAATCAAGTTAAACTTGTTTCTTGGAGTAAAACTGGTTTCCATGGTCTTCCATATGTCTTAAGGTGTTTGGGGATATGAGGTTGATCATCAATTTTAATCAGAAGAGCTTCAATTGATCAGTCAATTGAAAATCAAGAGGTTTGGGAAAAAGTCAACTCCTAACTTTTTGAGGTCAAGGTCAGGTTCCTCAAGTTTAATATGGCCAATGGATGGAATTTGATCAAGAAATATCAAGGGAATCATGAAAAATCAAGAAATGTTGAAACTTACTGTCGCGGTGAAAATCGGATACCAAACTATTAATTAGTTTGAATCTTTAATTCATTTTGCAACCGAACTTTGATTTGTCCAAAGGAAGGGATAAAGATCGAAATTCCCACAATGCAATGCAAATGCAAGGTTAAGAGAGTTTAGGTTCGGGGGTTGGTTAAACTTAGGGAAGGTGCTAGCATCCTAAGTTTCTGTAGTACTCTACAGGAACCTCTTGTTTTATGCTGTTTATTGCTAAGTGTTATGCGCTTAAAAGATTAGAGACCCTAGTGGTTTATTTCTAAGTATACTCGATAAGATGTCGCATCTTATGCCTACATATCCTTACGGGAGTGGAATCAGAGTACTTGTAGTTCCCCTAAAGGGTTAGAGGAGCTCTTTGACTATGGTCAAAGTTCCTACGGGTTTAGGGTAGTTGTTTTGATTGGGTTTAGGAGAAGAGATGAGTCTTCATGTTAAGGAAGATGTAACCACCACAAGTGTAAAGGGGTTGTAGGAAAATAGTCTTTGCATCGTCTTAAGAAAAGGGCTTAAGTACTCGGATTGTTTGACGAGTATGCCTTTATCACTCTTAAGGCAAAGTTCCTACATGTTTGATTGTATTATTGTGGGGGTGGAGATTATATCTCACTTAAGATGATTAACATCTATTCTCTATTGTGTTTGAAAAAGTTGTATAGTGTTGTTTGTTTGTCTAAGTTGTAGAGATAATGGTCCTTCCTATGGGGTAGGATCTATCTTAAGCGATCAACTTGAATGGAATCAAGGATCGTGGGGAAATGATGCAAATGACGTGCACTACACACAAGTGTTGACTCATGTGTAGGTTTTTCCTTTGGACGAATGCGATGCGGAAATGTAAATTGCGATAATGTAAATTACTGTAAAATAAATTGTAAGGAAAGTAAACCATACACAAACGCATGAAAGCGCTGAAGTGTGTGAGAGTGAAAGTGTCGTGAATGTGAGTGTGCACGACGGAATTGGATTTACGATGTTGGTTAATTTTAGTTAAATTTATTGAATCTCAAGGTGAAATTGATTTGAGAAAAGTTGGATTAATTTGATGAGAAAATGTTTTATTTTGATGAGATTTGGTTTTGAGCGAGCGTTGAGTAATTCTTGAGAGGTGGATTTAAAAAGTTGAATTTAATAATTTAATGAAAAGTTTTAGATTAATTGATGAAGTTGATTTTAGGAAAATATTAATTTAATTTTATTAGCAAAAGGTTTTAGATATGGATTAATTTAATTGCTAGTTAGAAACAAGTGATTTAAAAAGGTTCTTATATTATTAATTTGGTTTAACAAGTGAATGTAAATTAATTAAATCATGAAATTATTTTCCTTATTAAATAAAATAGTTTATTATTATTTCTAGAGAGGTTTTATCATCATAAACCTTTTAAGTAGATTATCTTAGAATGTGAAAATGGTTTTTTATTAATATTAATATATTTCTTATTGAATA